CGGGAAACAAAGAGAAAATCAAGGGCTTGATTGGTTCGGTGGTCGAACGGAAATCGTCCGAGTCTGATCCGCCATTGGAAGTTAAGTTCGTCCTCCATTTAATTCTCAGCTCGGTTCCACCGCAGGAACCCGAACAATCGCGGATCTATAGAGCTCCCTTTTAATTACCCGCTGGTGAACGTACCGGCGACTCGGTGGATTCTTATCATTTAGGGAAATAATCTAGTACAAAACGATGAATCATTTCGTGATCGATCGAGGATGAACCTTAGCCAGTGAACTCTTCCACGTCTTCACTATCGCCGTACTCTTTTCTATATTCTAGCTCTATTTCCTCGCGGATGAAAGATTTACCCAAGAAACTTCGTGAAACGAGTGAGAAACAGGAAAATGTTCTAGAAAGTTCCTCCATGAATATTCATGACTTGAACTTTCCTAAACAAAGACGGGCAATGTTTCAAAAACAAGAGCGAACGTTTCAGAAACGTCTCGATTAAATTGAAATAGACAAGAAGTGGAATAATCAAGTCACAGAGAAGATGTCCCCAATGCATCTGCGACTCTCGTTACTTGTATACTCCAATGGAATTAACCCTTTGCGGACGAAGATTGTTGAAAGTATACAAAACCTTTCGCAAATTCTGCTAAATTAAATACCGACTGCTTAATTCATCGAGAATAAGGAAACTGTGTACTGATATCTTGCTGTCCCAATAGTGAAATCATTTGCTGGCAACTTGGTATTCCAAGCATGGAAGATTGATCCCGGCAAAACGCCGACATTCGTCCGCAAAGGGTTAAATCTTGCGACTAGCTTTACCTTCTGCATCTCCAAGCGAGCGAGTGTAACGAGGTCGAAGAGCCAAGATTCACTCCTGATCGCAATTCCGTGGAATCCACGGTGGTTCTCGCGGCAATATCGCTGCGAGAGAACTCGTTCGTCTCCGAAGAAGAGCCGCGCGTCCTCCAGAAGTCGACGGAGAATTCCGCGTCCGCTCAACGAGCACGGTCTCGCGACCGCAGCGCGTGAAAGCGCCGCGTCGTTCGCTTTACAAACACACGGTGAATGCATTTCATAATTTGAATGAGAAGAGATTCATCTCCGCCGCGAACGGGAACGCCTGCCCAGCGATCATGGCGGCCGAGGCGATTGAGGAGCGAATATGAGACAGTCCGCCGGGCAACGGAGTAATTTGCATTCATGGTTTTCCGCGCGATCGTCCAAGAATAAAACGCGGCGACCGACGGTGTCACCGTGTTCCGTGAATTCCCGAGCGACTTCTTCTGCGAAGTGAAAGCAATTGAAACACAACTTCACGGAGGCACACCGTGGCGAAGTGCAATTGAAGTCGCGCCAATCAAGGAGAAATGTACTGAAAACTACTTTCGTCAACTGTTCATTATCCGCCGACACAAGAAGTCACTTCGTGTTACAATTCGAATGCCGAACTCGAAGAAAGTTATTTGCCGACTCGGGAACACGGGACGGGACGTCGCGCGCTTAATAAGAATATAAAATACTCTTCCAGAATGGTAGCAGAAAATATCTGATACCGGTGAACGCGCGCTGCATCTCAATGAGCTTCGTTCAATTTTAATGCCGCGCTGTCGCGATCAATCTCGAATATCAACCTGCCCGAAAGAGCCCCAGAAACTTCGAGTTCCGATTCTCCCGTGTGTAATTTTCAATTTGAAATTAAGAAGAAACTCAGATAAAACTTCCAAGATACTCTCTATATCCCATTCATCCTGCAAAAACATCGTAACAGGTGACAATGCGATCACCAGTCCAGCCTACACGCTCGATCGCTCCTTCAATCCTCTCTCCCGAGCAGGAAGCAACCTCCCGCTCGAATCGATCGCGATCGCGATTGGGCCAGCAACTCCGGGAGACGAAGGCCAGTCAGCCGACGAGGCTTCCTTAAAAAAATACCGATAGAATCGCTGGGTTTACGCGGTGTACTGTGCGAACGCGCGCTCCCTCTGCAGCTCCAGATGGTCCTTCATAGCTAGGACCGTGGGATGATGGGGCGGCAGGCCCTCATCCTCCACGAGGTATCTCAGCGCTTCCGTGGCGCATGCGTCCCATCCAGCACTCCAAGACGCTGGGACCTGTTCCTGATAGCTTCCGCTGTCCTCGAGGTCCTCTTCCATCCTCAAACGATGATCGAGACACTCGTAGGACTCGGTGAAACCTTGCTGCTTGCCGCAGGAACTCGACGAGCTCTGCCTCTGCCACTTTTCCGGGATGTCCTCGTGATAACGGGACGTTCCTTTGACGTCCTCCTCGTGACAGTCGTGTTCCAGGTAACTGGACTCGAGGTCCATGCGGTCCCTGTCGCAGGAACTCCTGGATTGAAGCCTGGACGCCGGATTCTGCTTCTGATGGGACTGCTTCAGCTCGGCTGCCAGCGACGCTGCCAGCTGATGCAGCAGCCTGGTGTTCTCCTGCTCCTCTTCCTCGTCCTCCAGCTCGTCCAGTTCCACTCCCTCGTCCTCCGATGAGGACAACAGGTCCTCGTTCTCGTCGTCCACGCCCAACAACGTCAGCAACCTCTCCGCGGCATCTGCGCAGAGACCGAGAGCAATTTTTGTATGCTGATTGTCTGATAAGGGGCAAAGCGAACTTAATTGCCGGGTCGGACGGTTCTCTCTTTGCGGCTATTAAAACGGCGAAATGGATTCTGTGTCGGGCTTAATCGTCCGATCGATTATCGGCCACCGCCGCACCGCTCCGCTCCGAATCGCGCTGAGTGAATTATTAACACTTTGCCCAACGGACGGCTGTTTAATAGTGTTTTAAAGATCGGTGATTAAATGCGCGGGATTCCTTAATAAATCTATCAGCCGCAAAGCCGGCTGCACGGTCCTCTCGGGTTACACGATCCAATTATCCGCGTTGGAAATTCTTTAGGGAAAAATCGTTCGGCTACTCGTTAATCCTGTTTATCGATAGATTTATGGCGACTCAACGTCTTAATCCGGTGACGCGTCATCCGTCGGATTCGAATATCTCGTTAAGACGTTTCCCCCATTTCGCTACAGGGTTATCAAGTTTTATTTCCAACGTACCCACGATGTATACATCAATGCCGCACGGGTGTCCCTGTTTTTTTCTCGCGCAGATCGTTTCCCACCTGCGGGCCAAGTTCAACATAAATTTCATCCCCGCGCCGCAAAGGACCGGCCGCCGTTAATCTCGAGAACCAACGTTCCTCGTTCCACATACGATCCGTGCGGAACCAGTCGCGACTTTTCGGGGGCAAACAGTGACACAATCGCGCCGTGAATTTCTGGGACGAGCATCCCGCCCTACGCCGACGGTCGAACCAGATCGCGTGGAAACCCGGCGAACCTGAATTCCGTGCTCGCGACTCGATCAACTGGGAATCGAACAGAGGATGAGAGAGAAAGAAAGAGAAACGGAACGGAGAATCGTGGACCGGAATTCGGTTTCGACTCGGTGGCCCGGTTTCGCGGACTCCTGTGGGAATCACTGGCCGCCAGCCTCCCATGGGAACTACCTGTCGGCTACCCACCCCATCATCCCGTCCTGCGAATCATCGAATTTCGCACGAGCCTCTCTCTTTCTCCCCTCCCCGGACCGGCTACGGTGCACGTACACGCGACCCCCTTGTTCACGCACACCCTTGTGAGAATCACGGACGAAGGGGTCGCGTCAGGTACGGCCAGCGTGACGGGCTTACCTGTTCCTGGGAACGCGCGGATAATGTCGACGCAGGGGGTGTTCAATTAAACGACACTTTATGGGATGATGTTTTCGGGGATCGGTAGTTGAACCAGGCCAAACGGACGGGGATTTGAAAAGATGATGCTTTAGGGGAGGATATTCTCTGCAGCGAAATTCTGGGGAAAGTGGAGAAATTGTCTGGAAAGTTTTGAAGATTTAACGTTTTGCTTGGATCACTTGCAACTGCGATCTTAGGCTGAGAGTTTTAGACATCTTCCTATTAATGATTTTTTATTAACCCTTTGCACTCGTTTGCCACTGCGACGACATTTAAGATAAGTTTATTACTTCATTTTTAGTCAAACATAACTTTAAAATGTATACGCGTTTTTTTAATGGCAAAGCAGGGTCTTAAATCTTTTACAACTCTTTCGGAGTTGCTGAAAGGTTATATTAAAAATTGTTCGGAGTGCAAAGGGTTAAATGATATGGAATTTTATTGTACTACTGTTACTATGAAGACAGTATACATTTTAGTCTTAGATTATTGAAATTAAATAGTGTAAAGTAAATGAATTATGTATTAAATCTTCACTCAAGTGGTCAATGAGGATTGATTACATTCAGGAAAGTTTCTGAGATATAATTACTGTTTATTCAGAGAATGTTCGTTTATGGTACTCAGAGGATGTTTATTTTGCGGGTTCAGGATGAATGTCAATAATCCGGGGAACGTAGCATTTTTGGCTTCGGCGTTCACTACCGGTGGAAGTGGAGGGTCGGTGAGAGACTTCGGGACACGGAGCAGCCCTCGAAGTGTGAGAACTGGGGCACAGAGGGTGAGCGGAATTTACCTGTTCCTGGGAACGATGGAGATAATATTCGGGGCGTCCAATTAAGTGATTCTTTATGGACCGATGTTTCAGGAATCGATGGGAACATCGGAGGAAATTTGTAGCGACTGTGGAGATTGAAGGGACGGCTGACTTCGGGAGGAAATTAAGTCTTCCAGAGGGTTGAGAGAGTGCTCGAGGGTCGTCGAGTTGGGCTACTTCGGTACCTGTTCGTGGGAACATGATGGATACCGTCTCCAGAGGAAGAAATCCGATTAATCGATAACTTGTAACATCCTGTAAAGTTAATATTCATAATTCGGGACGTCCTCTCGTGCCTCGATACCCGATCGATCATAATTCATCAGGCGGAAAGACGGCCGAATATTCGAGCCTTAAATACCACCTTAATGGGCATGGTAAATACATCTTGGAATCCGTTCGATTAACTCGCACCTCATAAATTCTCATTAACGAGTCCGTGAAAGTTTAATAACGCTCGGGCAAGTGAAACATAAGACAGCTGATTACATTCTGCGGAACTTATATCCGAACTCGACGTGGAAGCCCATCAATTAAACGTACGTCAGTCTCCCGTGTTTCCTCCGACAGTTATTGCGAACGATGAGAATAGCACGTTAGACGGAAATTGACTGGAACCGGGGAAACAGACGGGGGAAATCTCGGGAGAAGCTTCAGCTAACCCGAGCCCATTATTTTTTGGTGGGAAGAGAGGGTGGATTGAACGCCGCGAACGACTGCTCCCGTTATGAATTATGTAACGGCGGTGCCGGTGTTCGGTGGATACCAGTTGGGAAACAGAATTTGCGTCCGCTTATGGAAATGCCGTTTGCGCGGATATACAGTATTTACCTGGGCGATGAAGGATACAGCGTTTGATAAATGCCGGGATGAAGGAAGTGTCTTCGGAGAAGTTGAGTCTTCCATTTGGCCGCGGAAATGGGGCTTGTACCGTCTTCGAATACCGTCGCATTTCACCGTGAAATACGACCGCCGCGAACAAACAACTCGGATAAGCTTAAAATATCTTTTCGATATTTCTCAGCGAAGAGAGATTCGAGGGATTGAACAGGAAATCCGCCGATGACTCGAATCTCGACTGAATAACGAATGAACCTGGGATATCTACGAATGTCAATTTTCCTGGCAAACTTCGAAACAAACTAAACAAAGGAATGTATCGTTAGAAAATTCGGAAAGTTACATTGATCCATTTCAATATTTCTTTCTATAGAACGATCGCATAAATAATTCAAAGCTTGGATAAAAAGGATAATCTAATTTCACTATCAATGGATACGAACGAGTCTTGATTAGGATCACTGTTCGAAAAAGTCCACCAGGAAACCGACGGAGCCCGGTCCCTCTCACGGGGCCAGACGATTTTTTCACGATAGGCCATTTTTTGAGAGGGCCTCATACATTAGGCGCCCCTTTTTTCTTTATCCCGTCGACACCAGAGGAGAGTCGAGAGACCAGTCCGAAACGAGTTCATTGTTTTCCTCTCCCCCCTCCGGGAGGACAACCCCCCAGGACCTGGACGCCGGACGTTCCCACAGGGATACCCAGATTTAAATGTCTCCTTTCTATGGTCTCAGAGAGACGGCTCCGGCCGGGATTGAGTTAGGTTAGTCAACGATTTAAAGGGCTTGAAGGGTGTCCCAGTGCTTCGTCCCACGGCCACCGTCCGGAAACGGTCGCGGAAACTACCTTGAACCTTCGAACATCCCCTCGGGGAACGAAGCTGAGTCAAAAATTAACTTGACGGAGAAACTAAAAGGTCTAAGGTGCACGAACTCAATTCCTTTCGCTTTCTGACCCTAAGTACGCTGAATGCTAATATAAAACTGTGATGTATAGAAGCTAGCAAACAAATAATGTAGTCGCTTAAATAATAAAATATGGGTACACTTTTGTGTAGTACTTAACAGTTCGATATAATATTCTAGACAAATAGGTTGAAATTACAGAACATCTAATTAGTTGGTACGTACACCCGTTTCAATTAGATCCTTCCTGTAGGACTCGCGAATAAAACTTCCAATTAAACTCAGTGCCATCCACTACTTCTAATAACCTTAACATTTCAGCCGGCAATGTTACTCGCTACATTTATTTATCGCCAGTGTATTACACCTGTCCCATTCATTGTTCTTTATCTCGTGGCCATATTTCCCTCCGGCTCCATTCCGTCCTCCTCTTTCCTACGCGCCTCCTTCTCCCGCCTGTATATTGCCCACGGGATACTTTATTTCGCATACCATCGGTATCTACGATCTTCCCACCAGCAGATAATTAACAATAATAATTTTATGATCTCGTAATACGATTAAAAATTTCATTTAAAGACCTCACGATTAAAGGAAACGATAAGGTCGCGAGGAGCGCTCCCGCTCCGAGCTATTTCTGCCCGACTTCCATCACCGCGAATCGCGTCCACCAGCCCGGCACGATCGCTAACAACCTTCTGCCGGGCCGTTACTCGTAATAAAACTTATTTATATACAATTCACGGGACTGCCAAGTTGTCTCTCGCGCACCAACTCTGTTTCCACTGCGTAAACAGCTGCCTCGGTGGTCAATCAGCGTAAGTCACACCTTCGTTTCGCGTAATTCAACCCCTTCCCGTACGAACATGAACGAGAACCGGTACGAAGTCCTCTAAAATTTAACAAGAATCAATGTTAATTAATGTCCATTACAAAGGAATCGAGGTAGAAGACTATTTTACTGCTACCAATGTATTATCTTGAATTTCTTCGCGTTTCTCTGAATGATAGTAGAATTTAATTAACATTGATGTCCACTACGAAGGAATCGAGATAGAAGACTATTTTACTGCTACCAATGTATTATCTTGAATTTCTTCGCGTTTCTCTGAATGATAGTAGAATTTAATTAACATTGATGCCCATTACGAAGGAATCGAGGTAGAAGACTATTTTACTGCTACCAATGTATTATCTTGAATTTCTTCGCGTTTCTCTGAATGACAGTAGAATTAGTATCAACTTCGTAGCAC